TTTTTCAGCGCGTTTTTGAGATGCGCCATTTTTAATAAATGCAAAAAAAAATCGTGGCCATGTTATCAACAAAAAATATATATATGCGTGGTCATTCAAGGCGTGCGACTGCACGCTTCTCCTGAGAAGGCCTGATATATATATATATATATATATACACATGCATACATACATGGGTGTACACTTTTGGTTGGCTGCCAGAAGGGCGACTGAAAGTAATCAGTTCGTTAATTTTGGTCACCCGCCATCTTTTTGAGTTAAAATTTTTTGTATTCAAAACTTCTCATGTATTCTAGTTATTTTTCATTTAATTTTTATCAAAATTTTAATTTTATCAAAAAAAAATATGAGCTCTTTTTTTCAACAACAAAGTATTGACAAATAGAGAAAAACAATTTACAAATACTTTAAAATCCTTTGCTTTTACTGTGTTGCAATTATTAATACCCCATTTTTTACCTGAGCTTAAAAGCTATTGGCATTTTGTAAGTATTTTAAAGTATATAGTTATTAAATAAATTTAATTTTAAACTGCGGTAAAAATTATTTAACTAATTTAACAAAAATTATTAATAGAATCTAAATTACTAATAAGATATTTGTAAAGGTAATTTATGTTCACAAACATATTACATCAAAAAAACTTTACACAATATCGAATTAATAAGAAACAAAAAATACTGAAAAGAAATCTCTTAAACAAAAGCACTTCTCTCTTTTTATAAGAAAAAAAAGTTTTTAACTTCCTTTTGCTTATCTATGATAATCTATGATGGAGAGACTTATATTTTATGTAATAATAATAACATTAGTAGACTACTTGAAAAAATTCTTCTATAATAAACTTTAATTTAACATTCATTTGAAACTAAATTTTACATTCAACATTTTATTATTTTACATTCAATTTACATTTAATTTACATTCATTCAAAACTAAAGTTTTTAAATCATATTTAATTTAAAATCTTTTAAAATTAATTTTTTTTTTTACAAAACAATTTGCTTTTTTAACAAACTCTCAGTTACGATTAAATGCTCCTTGAAACTGTGACTTTAAAAATACAGTTTTATTATTTTAGTTAGGTGCCGAGTATAAATTGAATTGTGCTGCAATGACCCTTATACTATAAAAAGAAAAATAAATCTAAAATTTTAGATACTTTTCTTTTTATAGATAGTAACTTTACTTTTTATAGAATTTATTCTATAAAAAGGAAAGTTACTATCTATAGAAATTACAATTCAAAATTAAAATTCTATTTATATAAATTATAATTCTAAATTATAATTCTAATAATAAATTATCAATTAAAATTATAAATTGTAATTCAATTATAATTGAAATTAAAAAAAAAAAAAAAAAAAAAAAAAAAACTATAACTGCCAATTAAACAAGTTAGTCAATATATGCAAGTTATTTGCTGATGATACCAATATTATGTCCAAGGTAATCTCAGAGGAAAGTACATTAAGTCTACAGAAAGATTTAAACGCAGCATTAAAGTGGACAGAAGATTGGCTTGTAAGATTTAATGTCCAAAAATGTGGAACTATGGAGTAAACAATAAAAAAGAACCCTCTAATTTAGTTTTGTTATTTAATTCTGTATCAATAATATAGATTAATGGTATAAAATTACCTAAATCAGAAAGTACAAAAGATTAAGGAATGATTTTTAAAAAAATCTCAACTGGATCGACCAAGTGATTTCTGCAACAAGTAATACAAGTATAATGTTGGGTCATGTGAAGAAGCTTTTACCAAATACTAAAATCACTTTATGTGACTTTTATCCGTCCTCTCCTAGAATTTTCAGTATCAGTTTGGTCTCCATAATTAAAAAGTGACTGTAAAGTAAATGAAAGAGTGCAGCATCAAGCCATCAAATTGGTTAAATCAATTTGGTCATTAAGCTATGAAGAGCATTTAAAAGTTCTAGAATTGACAACTCTAACTAAACAGAGGGAAAAGGGGGATATGATCCTATCTAAAAACTATATAAAATCATGAGCAAAATATATAAAACAGAAAATGACATAAATATTGTTGAGAATTAAGTTAGAGGTCACTACAAATATTAGAGAGAAACAATGAAAAATATATTTTTTAACAATTTTTTTTTTACAACAGATCTGCAAAACTATGGAATTCAATGCCTTCAGAACTTGTGGAGTTGTCTTCAGTTAATTCCTTTAAAGCAAGATTCAACAGTTAAACAAACTATAATTGATTGGTTAGGCCATCACAGTATCCTTAAAGGCATACTCACTGGGTTACCAAGCCAGTTATAGCAAAACTTGCTAACTAACTGGTTTTATTTATCACATGCACTGTATGTATATATACATACAGTGCATGTGATGAATAAAATCGCCCAGTGCGATATTTCGCACTCATAATACAAAAAACGTTATCAACGGACGCGGTTATGCACATCAAGTTCTCGAGAGCAATATTCAGAGTTGGAAATTGGTTGCCATGGGGCTATCCAAAAATTGCATATGCAAGTTTGAAGTGGGAGTCACTCTATCTACCGCCTATCTACCGGAAAAAATATGTTACTACAGCTTTGATATAAATAAAAACAATGAAATATCATCATTTACTTAAAGATAACTACATAACTTTTTGGAGTTAAATTAAAATGCTTGATTGGGGATATTTTAAACAACAGAAACATTTTTAATTTAATTTAAAGTAAATAATAGTTGAAAATAATAAAAAAAAGATTAAGAATATTTCTTTTATTTACAAAAGATGTGTGAAAAATTAAAAACAATAAAGCAAAAGAATCTTACTTTTTTTTTAAACCTTGTGAATTAAAACTTTTGATTTTTCAAAATTCAATCAAGTTTTAACTTTTTAATTTTAAATTTTTAGTTATCATTATGACAAAGCGTTTTGAAAATAGTAAACATTCAATTCTATCTGTTAGCAGTAATGACTTTATTTGTACAAAATAAAAAAATTCATTGTTTGTACAAAATAGAAAAACTTCATTCATTCTTTGTACAAAATAAAAAAAACTGCTTTCTAATTTAAACTGAATGCATCATTTAAAAATTATCAAATAAATAATATTTTATATACTTGATTATATACTAAATAAATATATAATAGGCTTATACTAATATAATATATATTGTAAGTATATATATACTTATACAAATATAATATATAAAGAACTTATATACTGACAGATATATTAAGAAATACATTTGTGAAATAGTGACATTTTTTTAGTAATATATATTTTTTGTTGTTGTTTGTGAGCATGCTTCCAAAAGTTGCAACTCAAAGTTATATAACAAATATATTTATTTATTTATTCTTTTTATCACCCAAATTACAGGTAAAACAAACAAAGTGTATGAAACTAATAGTTAATACTTTCATCATAAAATCTAATTTAAATTCTTTTTGGAATTTGCTATATGAATTGCTACGCATGACAATTTGCTATACATATTGTGAAGTGAAACTATTTTTTTTTAATTTTAAGTTGCGTTTAGCTTTAACTTTTTAAATAAATAGACATTAATATAAGCTTAACTGATTCGAAGATACCAGTGAAAATATTTAGTTTTATATTAACTTATATTTGACAAAATATTTCATATTCCAACGTTTTGATGTTCTTGAATTTTAAATATAATAGTCAGTAATTAATAGAGTGAGATCGAACATGTATGAAATTAAAGCTTAAAGTGAAGTTTTAGTTTGATAAACTTTTTTTGCTAGATATTTATAAATACTACGCAAGACATTTATATATATTATGCTAGATATTTAATTTTTAACATTTAAGTTTGGAATTTTCATTAAAGTGTTGCAAGTTTTGATATTTATTACATGGACTTTTATGTAATTCAAAGTAAAAGTTCTAGTTAAGTGAAGTTTTTTGTCAAATGGACCCTAAAAAAATAAACAAGTTAGCAAATGGTTCAACTTAAATAGGGTATGATTAAGCGGATAATATGATAAAGTTCAACTGAATTTAAAAAAAAAAAACATGCTTTTAAAAGAAGAAATAAATTATTTTTATTTGAACTTATACCGCATAAATTAAAATTGAAGTCACGCATAAATTATATGTGACACGCATAAATTGTATGTGACATTTGCATATTATTAAATAACTTCTTTATTTAATAATATGCAAACTCTATTGTTTAAACATATTTTGACTTCAGTACAAAAATTTTATTTAAAATATTTATATAATATCTATAAAATCAACTTATAATTTTCTCCCTTGCAAGTTCTTCAGACAAACGCAATTTTTTACTCTTGCAACGAAACTAGCAAGCCTTATTTATTGTGTCCGGAAGGTAGTTTACTGGCCTGTTTCATGTGCCCAAAGAGATTGCATATATATATATATATATATATATATATATATATATATATATATATATATATATATATATATATATATATATATATATATATATATATATATATATATATATATATATATATATATATTGCTAACCTAAAACAATACAGTTTTTAAACTAACCTAAACTTCAAGTACTTTCAAAGTAGCTATAAGTACTTAAAAACTAGTATGTTTTCTGCACAATAAACCCTGCATATTTAAGTTATATGAGAATATTTTTGTTGGCTACCCAAAAAAAATTAAAAAATTGATAAAATCTAGATGTAAATTGAATTTCAGAAAATATTTTATAAGTTTTATTTTGTTAATGTCCACACTAAGTATAATAAGATCAGGAAATTTGATGAAAATTCAAGCTAAACCTGCTTAAATAAATAATCTCCTCAAAGTTAATTAAACTTTTAATCTAATGACCACCTTTAATATATTTCAAAAAAACTATAAAAACTGCTCCTTATCTGCTTGTTATGACTATCTTTTATCCATCTGATTGAAAACTTTATATGCGCAACAAATCATCTTTCAAATAAACTATATATTAACTTATACCTATTATGTATACATACATAAATAAGAAAAATAAAAAGTAGGCTTACTTGAGTACCACAAATGAATCGTACAGAGCTGAGACCAGCTCCATGTGTTAATAAAGTTTCACGAGATGCTTCAACTACAGAAGGATGCGACTACAAATAAAATAAATTCAACTACATTCAATGCTATTGAAAAAAGCATTAAGATCAAACAAATTAAAAAACAAATTTCAAGTAAAATTATTATTTGTTATCAATTACATTAAAATCTTTTTTGCAACATTGATTTTTTAGTTAGAATAATATAAACCTTAAAATAAACTGTAAATCATGTTGAAATTTAAGCTACTGATTTCAAAACATTTAATGCTTTTAGATATTATACAGGACATGAGTAACAAAACAAAACATAACAAAAGGTATATATATTAAAACTAAATTATGTAGTGAATATGTATAGTTTTATATTTAATTGAAAAATTTGTACACAGTATAAAAAACAATAATTTCAATTTTGTTAAACTTTGATGCAAACAATACTTACTGACAATCCTAAGTAATTATTTGCACAGAAGTTTAACATTTTATCTGGGTTTCCTTTTATAGTAATAACAGCTCCTTGTTTGCTAGTTATTACTCTTTCTGATTTCCAAGTTCCAGATTCTTTAACAGCAGCAAGTTGATTGCCTACAATTTCCCGCATCTGAGCAACACCAGACAAATAACGCATACATATTATAGATGGTCTTTTAAAATTCAAGGAATTATAAATAATTTTTCTACTCATCTAAAAAAAAAAACTATTTCTTAAGATAGAATAATGTTTATAACTCCATAATTTAAATATAAAGATCTATAATATATAGCTCTATCTTGTATTTACAATCATACTATTTTACTTACTATTATTGTTAATGCTTATTTTATGCAAAATAATTTTTTAATTACTTTTTCATAATATAGATAACATTATATAAACAATCTTTGAAATATTTTATTTCAATAAAAACAACGATTTTTTTACGTATCGTTAAGTAATAAAAACTCGTTATTACGCTAATAGGATAATAGCCCGAAAATACCAAATTTAGTACCGAAAGCGCGTTTATTGGTCTTAGAACACGTGCCAAAACAAACTTTTCCGACCTTAACGTGACTGCCTCAGTTTGAGACAGTCACGTTAAGGTCTGAGACTCACAGACCAATATACTCAAGCAATACCATTAAAAAACCTGTAGCCCATTTATCACAATTTAAGTAAATAAATTTATTATTTATATAAGAAGCATCTATGACAAATTTAACTTTTTGAGTGGAATGTTATTGCCATTTGTTCAATTATATCAGTGCACTGATATAATTGAACATATACGCCACTGCAGTGGCGTAACTATAAATTTGGGGCTCCCCAGCCAAAAAAGTAAAGGGGGGCCCTTTACTTTTTTACTTTATTTTAAGTTTTTTCAACGTTTAGAAATTCTAAACGTTCTAAATAATTTAGAACGTTGCAGAAGGTTTGAACAAATAACTAACTACGATACAACGTTTGGATTTTTGTAACATGCAAAAAAACTAAAACTAGTAAAAGAAGATAAATTTTTTCAAAGGTGTAAAGACCTAGAATCGTTCCTAAGTTTGGAAGAAGAAAAGAATGTTTGTGGAAATGATCTTTTTTCTGAACTTAAGGTTTTTTAAAAACTTCTACCGGCTGAGGTGGAAACAGCTGCAAGGATTTTGAGATTTATTCACCAAATTCAAAACCAATTTCCGAATGCATTTATAATGTATCGAATTTTACTGGCTATACCTGTAACTGTGGCAAGCCCAGAAGGAGTTTTTCACGCTTGAAACTTATCAAGAGATAATTAAGTTTGTCCATGGGTCAAGAAAGGCTATCAATTGTGACATCTAAGTTTTCATCCTTTTGACGCAATTTTAAAAATTATTTAACCCTTTTTACAGTATTAATAACACTGTATTATTTTATTATAAATATTTACTAGTATTCTATTATAAAATTAATGTCTATTATTTTACAGTGTGAACACTTATTATATAACTTCTATCGACCTATGAGCACCCTTCATACAGGGCCGGTGCACCCTATAGGCGAACTAGGCAATCGCCTAGGGCGCCAAAGTTTAGGGGCGCCTAAAAATTGATAAGTTTTTTTATATGCTAACAAAAAACAACGCTTTTGCTCATTGAGCAATATGTACGTACGTTTTACCGAACGCAATCTAAATCATAACAAATATGGCGGCGTCTTTACAATCAAAGTGATTTTCATAACAACTTTCAATAGTTAGTCGACTATATTCTTTATATAATTTATACTGACAATATATATATATATATATATATATATATATATATATATATATATATATATATATATATATATATATATATATATATATATATATATGCATATAGATGAATAGTGACATTCTATATACTATTATACATTTATATTAAGTTTTAGACACTTATTAAGAAAAGTAAAATATTTTTTATATAGATGAATAGTGACATTCTATATACTATTATACATTTATATTAAGTTTTAGACACTTATTAAGAAAAGTAAAATATTTTTTATATGAATATATAATAACTAGCTTAAATCTAGGGCTATTATATATTACGTATTATATTATTATTATACTTCACCATACGTATAACTTTGCTATACAAAATAAATTTTGAATTATTTAAACACAATGCATCTAGCAGGTTAAATTTTTTGTTGAGTCGCTTCTACAATATGTCTTGATCTGCAACAGCTAATTACACATTGAAATCTCATTCATATAGCTAACTTCCATTTCCGTTTAAAAAAACACAAAAAATACTAGCAGGACGTATAACTTTGCCAAGTTGTTTTTTGTATAATACAGTTAAATGATAACCTGTTAAAACCTTACAGAGCTGTTCAGACCTGTTGGAAACTATAGCTAGCTATATATAATTTATTCTTGAAGCCAATCACAGAAGACCTATTAATGTATTAGTTAAACATCGCAACATTCATTTATTTTATTATTTTCTTGTTACATTTTAAATATGGCTGAGAGAAAGAAGCCTTCAGGAGCTCAATATCGTAAACGAAAAGTTGAACAGCAGAGGGAACAAGAAAAACAGAAGGGTTCATTGCTAAAGTTTATATGCCGACAAGACTCTACTAAAGAGGATAGTAATGGTGGACAGATTCCCACTGATATGGAAGCTGAAGAAATATCTAATGTTGTTGATAATGATAATGTGATGATGAGTGAAACACTTTCTTACTCAACAGTTCCCGTTTCCCATGCAGATAATGGCCAATTGAATAATTCTCTCGAGGAACATGTACAGCAAGCAAGTGAAGAAAAAACGGATAATGTTATTCCACAGGATCCAGCACTTTGGCCTCTACTAATTAATCATAATACACGTGCAATCATTGTAGAACGTGGACCTCAGCAAATAAAAGATATCAGTTTCCCAAATGATAAGAACAATCGAAAGTTTTCAGTATTTCACTACTTAAGAAAACTTCCTAATAGAGAAGAATTATGTCGCAGCTGGCTCTTGTATTCAGTATTAAAAGACTCAGTGTTTTGTTTCTGTTGCAAACTGTTCAGTATGAAAGCAATTGGCATATCATCACTAACTCATACAGGTTCAAGTGACTGGAAAAACATGGCGGCAATTCTTTCTTCCCACGAGAAAAGTCCTGAACATTTGCAGAACTATCAAAAGTGGAAAGAACTACATCAGCGATTACAGAGGGATAGTACAATAGATGCAGAAATTTTGCGCAAGATGAAGAATGAAGAAAAGTATTGGCAGCAAATACTAAAGCGTTTAATAGCATTAGTGAGAGTTTTGGGTGAACAGAATCTAGCTTTTCGCGGTACAAATGAAACATTGTACAGTGCCAATAACAGGAATTTTTTAAAATTTGTGCAATACTTAGCCATTTTTGATCCATTAATGAACGAACATCTACGAAAGATATCAAATAAAGAGCTTCATACACACTATTTTGGCAAAGATATACAAAATGAACTTATTCAACTGTTAGGAAATGCTATTAAGAAAGAAATCATACAAACAGCAAATGCAATGAAATATTTTTCAATTGTTCTCGATGGTACTCCTGACTGTAGCCATGTTGAGCAAATGACAATAATTATTCGTTTTGTTAAAGTTGATTCATTGAAAAAGGAGTTTAGTATCAAAGAACATTTTTTAGGCTTTGTACCTTTAAAGAAAACAACTGGAGCCTATATGGCAGAAACGATAATACTACAACTAGAAGAAATGGAGTTACCTATTGATAATTTACGTGGCCAAGGCTACGATAATGGCGCAAATATGATAGGCAAAAATAATGGTGTTCAAAAGAAAATATTAAACATTAATCCTCGAGCATTGTTTGTTCCTTGCAGCGCACATACTCTTAATTTGGTTGTCAATGATGCTGCAAATTGTTGTCTAATGGCTACAAGTTTTTTTGATATTGTCCAACGTGTGTATGTATATTTTTCGTCTTCAACACATCGGTGGGTAGTTTTCACTAGTCATCAACCTACGTTAACTGTTAAACCTCTAAGTGAAACAAGATGGGAAAGCAGAATAGATGCTATAAAGCCTTTGCGATATGAACTTGGTAAAATATATGATGCACTGCTAGAAATAGCTGATGATACTTCTCTAACTGGATCCTCAGGAAGCACTGCACGCAGTGATGCTAAAGCACTTGCGAATAGTGTTGCAAAGTTTAAGTTCGTGGTTTCAATTGTTGTATGGTACAACATACTTTTTTGAATCAATATAACAAGTAAGCAGCTCCAAGCTAAAGATTTGGATATTCATGCTGCTGTACAACAGTTACAACACACACAAGCCTATTTGGTTGACTGTAGGAGTGACATAGGTTTTGCAAGAATGCTAGTGGATGCTGCTGAAATTGCTAAGGATTTGGAGATACCACCAACCTTTGAGGCAGAACCACGATTACGGCGGAGAAAAAAGCAATTTGCATATGAAGCTGAAGATGAGCCTGTGCAAGATCCAAAACAAAATTTCAAAGTGAATTTTTTCTTTGTTATTCTTGACACAGCAATAAGGTCGGTTGAAGAAAGGTTTGAACAAATGAGAACAATTGAATCTGTATTTGGTTTCTTATATCATATTCATGGTCTACAGAGTAAAACTTCACAAGAAATATTGGAATGTTGCATGAAACTAGAATCTGCTTTACAACATGGTGATAACAGAGATTTAGTTGCATCAGATTTGTGTGGCGAACTACAGTCTATTGCACGACGACTTTCTGAAGAAACAAAGTCTCCTCAAGATGTTTTTCGATTTATTCTTTGCCAAAACTTGGAAGACAGTCTACCCAACCTTTGTATTGCTCTTCGTATTTTGCTGACATTACCTGTTTCTGTCGCTAGTGGAGAGCGTAGTTTTTCCAAACTAAAATTGATAAAGACATACATTCGATTATCCATGTGCCAAGACAAATTGGTTGGGTTGGCAACTCTTTCCATTGAGCACGAACTTGCAGACAAGCTGGACCTGAAGGACCTTGTGATCGATTTTGCCCAGAAAAAGGCACGCAAAGTACAGTTTTGATATTTTTAAATAAATAAATACTTACCTGGTGTTTTCACTTTATTTTGCATTTTATTTTGATTTTTTTACGTAAAAGGGGTGCGACCTTTGAAGTTTTGCCTAGGGTGTCATAACCCCTTTGCACCGGCCCTGCCTTCATATCGATTGCTGGAAACATAATATGTGCAAATAAGATTACTATTTTGTAAAAAAATGTAATATTATTTATAACTGATTATTCAATAAAAACCAAAAAAGGAAAAATATTAATAACTTTAAGAACAAACTTTATTGTTATTATTCTAGTTTATTTTATAAAGCAATTAGTTCTTTTTATAAAACTTCACACAGATAAAAACTCAAAATTATACCAATCCGAAATTTATGTTTTGCATTTACACAACCACTTTTCAGACATTAAGAGAAAAAAGTTTTTCTCCGTCAAAGCGCCAAAAATGATGACTTTCAAGAAGGCCTCGCAAAAATGTTTTGCTCCAGGCCTCGCATTTTTTAAGGACGGCTCTGCTGGTCTTTTTTTATCAAATCTGGTTTGGTAATATTTAAAGAAAAATTTATAGTTGAGTGCATACTTTTTACTTTCATTTTAGTTATATGAACTTAAATGCAAACCTTATCACAAATATTGGTTTTAAAAGGTTTTTTGTAGTTACACCAGTAATAATATCTTTTTAAAGTTAAAATCAGGAAAATCAACTGACCAATTGCAGAACGCAACAAATTTTAATTCTGTTCAATTAACTGAAGGATCATTCAGCTTCTGTATTAGAATTGTATTAGGAAGTGTGCAAAGAATCACAACGTTTGAGAATATAATTGTAAGCTTTAAATCCGCGGGAAGATTACTGGGCTAATTTTTTTTTTAAACAGGATATTAATGAAAATAATTTATATTTTGGGACATAAACGCTATTCACTTCTGAACAAAATATTACACTCTTTGAGCTCTTTATCTTTTAATTATGGATATCGCTATAGAAACAAAAAAAAATCAATAATATATAAATATAGCTTCTAAACCTTCAAATATTCTACGTCATTAAATCAACACATAAAAACGATAATTTTTTTTATAAAAAATAATTTTGTTTTTTAATTTTTTTCATGTCAGCATTTAAGTCATTTTTTCATGTCAGCATTTTTTTTTTTCAGCTTTAGGAAGTTTTTATGGGATTCCAATATTATTAGATAAAAGTGTATTTTTTTAATTACTGCATTCCACTGATAACATAATTTGGTCAAATTGTCAATTAAATGCTGAGGATTGACAATTTTTACGTTGATAATCGTTTTCCTGAAATGGAGATGTTACAGTCATTGATTTCCCATAAAACTTTCAGACGAAACAATTAAAATTAAAATACTTTTCTTATAAATCTTTCAAAAAGTAATTTTCATAAACTTAAAAACAATCGCAAAAAATAATGTAATAAGAAATCGACACTTTTATATCTTAAATATCTTCAATAAAATTAATGTTTATAAATACTTTTCTATAAATATATTTATAAATGTCTTTTTTAATATAGATTTTAACTAAACTAGTTTAGTATATAAGATCAGCAAATAGAAAAGATAATCTAAAGTAACATCCCAGAAGAATACAAATATTAAAAAAATAAGAAAGCTCACAAAAATTGTTTGCAGTGGGATAAGAAAAGATAATAACAAAAACGAGTGACAATGATGGCGCATAACAAAATTTAATACATTGAAAAAAGATAAAATAAATGTAAAAGTAAAAATAAATGGTTAAGATTTTTTAACTAAAAATTTAAATAAAACGCATTAAAAATCATAAATTTAAAAAGGTTTGAAATTTTCTAGCCAAAGGTGAACGTTTTCTGGTTAAAAAAACTTAAAGACGACAGTAAAAATAGTAAACAAAATCAAAGGTTATTGCGGAAGCAACAAAACTATTTTTACAAAACAAAAGCTAAAATAAAAAAATAAAAATATATAACATTTTAAGTAGCCATTAAAAATATAACTAAAAGACATGCAACTGTAAAAAAATAGCAACTGACACATTCATTATAACATCGAGTTATAATTATCTATATAAACTTTTGACCTGAAGTAATTTCTAAGAGGAGCGAAAAGGTGTCTAAGAACCGGAACACTCCAAGATTTTCCGAGAAGTTTTTGACGATCACGCTGACCCATATTTGCGACATCTGTATAGTGATCAGGAAATCCAAATATTCTATATGTGTATATATATATATATATATATATATATATATATATATATATATATATATATATATACACACGCAAAAATAGAAAAGATTATTATAAAACTTATAATTGAGAATAAAAAAATTTTTTTTTTTTACCTTTCAATCTCAGTTAACCAAAGTCCGTCGTCGAGCTGAGAATTGCGTGATATTGTCCATTTCACAGGCAACATGGCTGCTTTTGTTTGCTTTAAACTATTTTGAGAAGTCGTAATGCAACGAACTTTGTCAAACTAAAAAATATTTAACATATTTTACACTTAATAAAAGTTACAAAAGTAAATTACGCTGAATTATAACAATCTATAAAAAATTATAGTGAAAATTTATGCTGAATTCTAAATAATTATAGTGAATTTTAAATTATGCTGAATTATAATAGTAAAAACTTTTAATAATAATAATAATTTTTACAAAAAAATATAGCGCAACTTGCCTTTGCAACTCTACCGCAATCTTTTTCTAAACACTGCTGCAATTTAAGACGATCACTTGGTAATGGACACATAGCTCTATTCATGCCAGGTAAGTTACCCCAAAAATAGCGTGTTCTTTGCTGTGCAGAAATTTCTTTGGCGTTTATTATAACAGGATGACACTGTAGAAATCGACTTATGACGGCACGATCAGTATATCGCATTCCAACAACATTTTCAAACAACCAAAAAAACGGACGAGCTGTTAACGGCTGAGGTTTACAATATTCTAATATGCGATAAAATTCAAAAAACAGCTGTCCCGTGCCTTCTAATAACGAAAAAACAAAAATAAAAATTTAGTTATTATATGCAGGATTAAGAAATGAAAAAGGAATTAATTGTAAGCAATTATAAAGGCAAGTGATTTCATACCATAAATTCCTTTGCGAAAAGGATTTGCTATTGATAACTCATCACATGGACTACCACCAATCACTAAATCAAAAGGACCCCAATTTTCAATATCTTGTTTTGTAATCTTTTGTACATCTCCAATCTGTTCAACCCGCATACTATGGTGAACTTTGCTGACCTAAATGAATATTAATAAAAGAAAATTTCAGACCTTTTTAAATAACTAATTATATTTGAGCTTAAAGAATTATGGTATTTTGGCGTATAAAGAATTATAATCACCACAAATTAATCACAACCACAAAGTAAAGGGACCATAAACAACCATTAGAGAAGCTACAAACCTAATAAAAGAACTAAGAACTTAGAAAAAAATTTAGTCAATAATCTGCTGCTTTCATGATATGGCACAATTTCTTATTTCTAGTCTTATGTCAAAATAATAATAAATTTAAGTGAAACAGAATAGAAAAAAAAATGTGAGGATGAATACTTCATTCTGCGAACTCTGTTGGCTCTCAGAACTAACAATATGATAATTAATAAAATACTTTTATTAATTATCATATAGTTATCATTATTAATTATCATATAGTTGATACATCTGTTTAACAGATGTATCAACTGGTAGCAAACAGTTGTAGAAATTGAGTTATATTATTAGTTACATTAGTTATTTATTAGAGTTGTAATTATCATATTAAAAAGTTGAGTTGTAATTTATAATAGTTTGAACAGTTACTTTTTTTTTTTTAATTTCTCCTTTTAAACTCTATCTCTGGTTAAACTCAACCATTTGACAACCATTTGACAACCATGGTTAAACTCAACCATTTGACAACCATTTAGTATAAATATAAATTCTTGCTCTTATTGCTTCCCTTATAAACTGTTTTTGAAGGGTTTTCTAGAATTGTAAATTGTATATTTTGCAAATAATCTTTATTAATTTCTTTGCGCTGTCCAGTAATTCCTTTGCAGTCTTTACTGATAATTCCTTTGCACCATTCTCCTCTTCATTGATGGGCAACACTTTTTGACCCATTGGTCAAACAGTGTTGCTATCTTTTTCAGAAAGTTTCTTTTTATAAATAAGAATTATTCATCAGCTGCTTGGTATTTAAATATAAAAATGTCTTCTTAATAATGTTTTCACAGAAGGCAGTTCACATTTATCCAAATTTACTTCTTCAGATCTGTCTTTAGTTAGAATCTCTTTCAGTACTATTTCAGAGTTTGACAACCATTTAGTATAAATATAAGGTTAATTGAATGTTTTATACATGCACGTGCAATACCAAGAAGTTTTACTATTGGAGTCGGAGTCGTGATTTTGTTTAACGATTCCAACTTCGCTAAAAATGTCGCAACTCCACAACTCCAACTCCGACTCCACAGCCCTGGGTATTACTAACGTGTTTCTTTTTCATTAGTTTTCTTTCGGTTTGTATTAAGTGATGAAGTGCCATTCTATAGGTATTTTTTAATTTTGGCGTTTCTTGTTTTCTATGGTATACCAATTTGATATTTTTTTCATATTTAATTTATTTTTGTACAACTACCATCGCTGCTTTCTCATCTGCAGTTCTTTGCCTCTTTTTTATATATTTTAAAGTATATCATCCTTTGCTGTGTTGCTTTTTTTTTATCAGTGGTAAAAAATGTATGAATAAACCTTGTATAACAATTTAGATAAACTTTAATGGGACTATATACGTCCATTAAAGAAGAGTTAAATGAGCAAAAGGTTATCTAAGCTTTCTGAGTACATCTTTTATCTAATAATGAAGATTAGCGTAATCTATTCCTATTAAAATGAAGATAAATGGTCATGCACCAACATTCAATTTTTTTCTTAAAAGTTACTATTTCTTTGCTTGCTTAACATTTTTTAAATTTCTAGTTACTCTGTTTGCTGTATATGCTAAAATCTTCATGTCCACTTGGCCATCTAAACTTTCAAGACCAAATTCAACAGGCATTGTTTAAAACCTGTCAATTTGATTATTCAAACACTGACAGTCACTTCTTGTAGTTTCCATTAAGTCCTAGCTTGTTGTCAATATTAATACTTACATAGGCCTTTGTGCTTGTGTCATCCAATAAAGCATTAACCATAATCCTCTTTACAGCATTCTGGAATAGTTCAAGCGATGTGTAAATACTATAATTATTCTTTGGCCTAGTATCAGTAGACATGTTATGCTTGATGCTTTGATATAAATATAAATATATATATATATACATATATATATATACATACATATTTATATATATATATATATATATATATATATATATATATATATATATATATATATATATATATATATATATATATATATATATATATATATATATATATATATATATATATATATATATCAGAGCCAGAACCACAATTTTCATATTAGGGGGGCCCATATTAGATACTAAAGACCTTTTTTTCTTTTTTTTTTAGGTACCCATATTTTTAGGTATCCAGGAGATAATATATTTGTTAAAAATGTATGTTTTTCCTTAATAATTATAGTTTAATAATTTTTTTTGGGGGGGGGGGCCTAAGCCCCTCTGGCCCCCCTGGTGGTTACGGCTCTAATATATATATATATATATATATATATATATATATATATATATATATATATATATATATATATATATATATATATATATATATATATATATATATATATATATATATATATATATACACACATATTTATACATACATAATTATTAAAGAGCTTCTAAAACTTATTCAAGATTAAATGGAGGATGATGACAAGTACAGCTTCATTTTCAACAATTCATACCGAGGAAGTTCCTATATATCAAACTCAAGTATGTCTTCCAAATTATGTAGTATATGCTTTTCAACTATTGCAAAAGGATATTTACACAACTGCTCTTCTTTATCTGCACCAGAGAACCTGATCTTATTAGCATTAAGTCTAGGAAATTTGCAAGCAGAGCAAGTTGCATCTAGTATAATAAAAGCAAAAATGGAGACTGAAAAAATTGCAAATAGGGAACTAAATGGAATTTATTTTGTGTTCTGGCGGACACCCATTGATGATTACAGTTGGATGTCCTGATAATAAATCAAAGAGAAGGTACTTATATACTGTTGAGTACATATAATTATCAAATGAGAAGACATTAATATTTTGTTCATTTATACCTAGGTCAGTTAAACAAGTATCTCTTCAAATGATTAAAGAACTTTAAATAGTGTTAGAACTTTCCCTGAATAAAACAGGGCTATTGATATCTACTCTCGAAAAGGAATGGGAAGTAAGTTGGCTGTAGAAAACAACATTTTAGGAAAAATGAGTGACCTAGAAGAGTCTTTATTGCATTTTTATCAAGTAGAAAAGGTAACATTTATATATCTTTTAGTTTTGAATAGTAATTATAGCGTTAAAGGTTTTTCTAAAATTTTTTGTTATTTTTTAGGTCAACTTCCTTGATAGTACTGGTGGCACTATAAAAGACCTTGTTTTTGTTCAAGACACATCTAGTTTTATTCTTGATTTAATTATTCAACGTTGTCTTGATCCCCAGTCAGCATTTGTTCGTATTTCTATGGATGGAGTAGGTGGTTTCTGGAAGGTCATTGTAAATGCTTTGGATGTTAATGAAAATACTACTTCAAATTTATACTTAAATAGTGGTGCACAACCATGTCAAATCCACTCAATAGTTGAAGATGTGCAAGAATCAAACTTCAATTTAAGAATAATTTTAGAGAAACTCAATTTACAAGATGTTAAGTTTTCAGCAGCTTTTGATTTGAAATGTGCTAATGCAGTTTTTAGAATATCAAGCCACGCAGGTAAAAAAGCTTGTCTTTGGTGTCAAGGAGACTCAAGTAAAGTTTGTGGTAAACAGAAAATACTTGGAAGCCTTGACTATTGGAAACATTTAATGAATGTGATATATTCAAGAATTCTCTACCTCAACAAAGATTCAGATACACTAATTCAACATTCAGTACCTCCCCCTGAATTACATATCCTGATAAGAATAATAACAACACTGGGATGTTTATTATTGGATCTTTGACCAAGTTTTGATAACTTTTTGAAACAGTGGTGTTCTACAGAGAGGATATCAAGGTAGAGGTTGGGATGGGAATATTTCAAACCAGATGCTAAAGTGTGTTGATGAGTTGGAAAGAGTTGTTTTGTATGAATATCCTGATCTTCTGCTGATTGTTCAATGTTTAAAAGACTTTAAGATTGTGAAAGATTCTTGTTTTGGTAGAACACTTGAGCTTGGGTATCAGCAGGCCAATCTAAAATTTAAAAACTCCTTTTTATCCGCTCAAGAAATTGCAGATATTCTTGGAAAAAAACTTTCAATTAGTTAGAAAGTGTATATACTCTTGTGTCAAGTGCAACCTTTTGTTGAATACCACAAATGTGGTTTATCTAAGTTTGCTGAACAACGCGGAGAATCAGTTCACTCAAAATTCAAACCAACATGACACAGGTTCAAACGACAAGTTGCAAACAAAGAATATGATGGAAGACTCCTCTCTTCTGTGATTGACTTTAACGGAAGAAGAGTTAGTAATTTTTAGGTACTTTATGTTTCAAATGTCAGTAATATTTGTAAATATTAGTCATTTTATTGTTTTAAATTTTATTCAACTCATTTAAATGAATTAAAAAAAAAAGATTGATAAAAAAAATAAAAAAATTAGAGTTTTGAAAATTTTATTAGATCCTTGGGCAATGTACCTGACTAATGAAATATAATAATTTTTTAATAATTTTGCAGATCTAAACTTCTAAAATAAATTCAGAGAGAGAAAAAAAAATTAAAAGTAAAAAAAAAATCTTAAATGGGTTTAGGGCCCCTCAATCTTCCCTTTTGCCCCATTTGGGACCCTTAGCACTTGGTTTAGATATTAAAAACAACTTTTTCTATTATGATAAAATAAATACTAATAAATAAAAAAAGTTTCGTTTAATTGACACAACAAAAAACCTGGCGGTCTCTCTGGTCCACTGTGATTACTAAGCTCTTTTTCTTGTTTAGCTTTCTTTTAGGTTGTGGTCTTTAGAATGATCAACTCTTGTTGGTTTGAAATTTTCCAACTTGTCTATGTGTAACATTAACTTTCTTCTTTGTCTGCCATATTTTTTCAAATTTTATATTGACAGCTTTATAAGCATAACCAGCATGTCCTAATCCATTTATTGTTGCTAAAACTGCACCAATCAGGTATTGTCGTAGTTGTAACAATTTATATTCAGGAATTGTAGGAGTTTGACCTACACAGGCCATGAATGCTGACTTCTTCATTTTTTTTTCTTTCTGTTTTCATTATTCATTTTTTTATTTTTTCTGTTTTCATTATAGTTTACTGCCATTAAATACAGGAATAGAAAATTCTTCATAAATCTTTTCTTGCTTTCTTGCAACTTCACGTACTTCAAGGTGCGTCAATTTTGATAATTTAGGGAAGCTAGTGTTTGCATGTAATTCATTGTCTGAAACATTTGGTTCATTTCTTCTTGATTTTAAATCACTGTTTATGGTTCTGATAAAGCTCGCTCTATATCTCGATATTCTTTATTGAGTGATTTCAGTTTTTTAAACTTTTCTTTAACTGCTTTCTTTTCTAACATTAGCACCTCTTGTTTTTGTTTATATTTGTTTTACTTCCAGAGAATAACACTTTGATTTTGTATTTCCTTTCTATACAATATTCAAAATTAGAAGCCTTATTTTTGAAGAAATAATATGGATAGTGAGAGTAGTGAATACAATACCAAATAATATAACAAATTCAAAATAAAATATATATATAAGATACTAAGATAAGTATATAAAATAAGATAAGTATATGAAAATGAAAGCAGGTCTGAGCAACAAAAAATTAGGAACAGGTCTGATCAACAAAAAATTAGGAGCAGGTCTGACTAACAAAAAATTAGGAGCAGGTCTGACCAACAAAAAATTAGGAGCAGGTCTGACTAACAAAAAATTAGGAGCAGGTCTGACCAACAAAAAATTAGGAGCAGGTCTGACCAACAAAAAATTAGGAGCAGGCCTGACCGACAAAAAAGCCAAGAAAAATGTCCCCAGGTTTAATACAATTTGGAAATCATTAAATTATATATCATATATCATCATATTGCATGCTATCACATAAAAATTTTGTTGCAAATACCTCTTTATATGGATTAAACAAATATTTTCTTACACTCTAATCGATCTCAACTTTACCCAGACATAGAAAAAATGAAAAGTTTTTGAAAATTCTTTAAAAAACAGATACATATCTTCAAAATTAAGTCATAAGTACATAGTGCATTTTTAAAAAGCTTATAAGTTTATGCATTTTTGATAAGCTTATAAAAAACAAATCTATTTGAATTGTTTTTTATTGATAAGGACATCATAATCTATAATGGTGAGCAAAGTAGCAAAGCTATTAAGATTTTTATATACAAAAGTTAGCTTAAACATGAAGCATTTAAATTAAATGTTAATTAATAATATTAATGAATCTTGAAACTTTTATTTTAAACAAAGAAACAATCATGAATTGAGAAGTTATTATGTTAAATATTATACCATTGATAAAACTGTAAAAAATCCAACTTAATCATTTCAACTTATTATTTATTGAAAAACTATTTTTTTAATTGAAACTTACTACTAAAATTATAAGTTATATCTTATTTAACTTTCTATTATTTAACTTAGATAAAAACTGTAACCTAATTTTTTAAAGAGTATTTTAACTAATTCAACTTTTTATATTTGAAATTATTTTTTATTTGGAATAAATGAAATACCATTATAATAAGGGATGGCAAAAATCCTGGAAATTTTCAATCCCGGGATTTTCGGGATTAGGAAATTTGTCCCCGGGATTGAATAGAAAAAAACGTAAATGCAATTGAATACTTTTTAAGCACTTATCAAACACTTAAAAATGATTAATTTAATGATAATTTATATGTATTATAAGTATTATATAAAACAATACCTTAAAATGGTAACACAGTATAAATAAAAATAAAAATTAAAAAATAATATAAATGTGTATGACGTTAAAAAAAACTTTCATAAATCACACATTTGAAAATTAAAATGAATGGATATAAAACTGGAATTAAAATCGCGCATACTTTTGGAAGCAGAAAATTCAAAATTAAATTAAAAACTCTTGCTCTTTTTACCAGCAAACTTTATCAAATTTATAATATACTAGTTTTAGTATAATACTATATATTATATATAGTATAATATTAAAACTAGTATATTATAAAAAATAACAAGCGCTTGCTTGTGGAAAGAGCAAGAGTTTTTAATAAAAGTTATACATTAATTTTATTTTATTATATATTTTTAATTATATATATATATATATATATATATATATATATATATATATATATATATATATATATATTATATATATATAAACATATATACATTTTGCAGACAAGCAATAATGTTTTGAGTTTTTTTTGAAATAAAATGCAGAAAATGAGAGTTTTAAAAGAAAAACATTGCAAAGATAATAAATGATTACACGACCAAACAGCTACTATACCAAAGACGATATAAAAATTACTAAACTAAAATTATAAGCTTAAACTTTATTAACCTTTCCTTTTTTTGAGGATCCCGAAATCCCAGGAAATTTCGGAGACTAATCCCGGGATTTCAAGATTAACATTTTTTACAAAATCCTGGGATTTCGGGATCCCGGGATTGCCATCCCTAATTATAAATATAATTATAAAAAAAAATATATATCAAATATAACTACCTTATCTACATCTCATAATTATATATAACTATATAATGCGGTAATGTAATATAATGTGGTAAAATATATAATTTATAAACTTGTTTCTCCACACAGCAGCAGCCACAACTTAAGTAGCCTCCTTGGCTGTAGTGGTCTTCATGGCCTTAGGAAGGTAAATTTAAATTTAAAAAAACAAAAAAAACCAACCAACTATAATTTAAAATTAAAAACCGTTTTTAATAACCTAATACATCAGTACAATAAATTATCAATGAACATTAATAAACTGAAATACAAACTTTGATAGCTAGAGGATCAATTTCAGAGGCCTGGTATGATAAAATATCCAGGCCAAGTTCACTGAGTGCCAAGTAACCAGTACTGAGACCATCAAAAAGAGACAAAACACGTAGGGATGGACGATCTTCAAATGGTACAGGATCATAGAAGAATGGTAGTGGCTATAATATTTAATTAATTCAAAATTAATTCTGAAAGAACTTTTCATTAATACTTATCTATTAGGTTCATTATAAAGTTTATATTAACTAGTAATTTATATTTTTAATATTTTAAGTTGAATAAAAAAAAAAAAAAAAACAAGCAAGTAACACATTAAACATATTCCTATCAGTAATGCACCTAATGTGTTTCTTATTGCAGTAGCTATTCATGCTAAAGTTAGCTTTTCAAAGTTATACTATTGAGAGAGCTTTAAAAAAATGAAAAAAAAAACAATTTAAAAAATACTAATAATATATAACATAAATATATAACATATATATATATATATATATATATATATATATATATATATATATATATATATATATATATATATATATATATATATATATATATATACAGTAGTGGTCATTGAATTAAGGCACCTAGCAGAATTGCAGTTTTAATTAAGCAAGTCCAGTTTCTCTTTCATGAAATCGTATTATATGAACTATTAGTATTATAAAATGTTCTAAAACATATCTAGCAGCATTACTTTTAAAATTCATCAACAAAAAGTCTCAAAATTATAGAATTTCGTAGGGTAACCACAATTGTGAACGCCGTGGCAATTTAGACATCTAGAACTCCCATGCAATTTTATAACATTTTGTACAGCGCATCTTGATATTTCTAGACGTTTACTAATGACAACTTGTGAGTACCCTTCACCATGCAAAGTTATGACTTGAACTTTAACAGTCACTCAAATCTGCTTTTTTACCCATATTTATTTAATTACCATTTACTTTGAAAAAAGAACTTTAATAAGCTTTGATGACGTCTTTTAAACAAATATATGCGAAAAATTTTAATTTGATTCATTTAATAATATCATTAAATGAATCAAATTAAAATTTTTCAATATCATATTGACATATAATACTTTGCATATTTAAGAGGCACATTCAAAGTTATACTAAATTTATTCAAAAACCGTAAGGTGCCTTAATACAATGGCCACTACTGTAATATATATAATATAAATATTATATATATATATATATATATATATATTATATATATATATATATATATATATACACAAATAGTATTGTGTACTAAGGTAAGCAATTTGACGTCATACTGAAATAGCCTGCTGCTGGGGGCTTCAGTACATACATCGACTGACAAATAGCCTGACTCGCAGTGGAGTGCTGCTACATCAACTGAGGGTTTGGGATGGGGAAGCAATCGTTTCATTCATCATTCTTCGTTTTTTCTTCTTTTTTGAAAAAAAAAACGGTATAGCTTAAGGTAAGCAGAAAAAGTGAGCAAATGCTTATCAAAACACGATTTAGTAAGTGTGTGTGTGTGTATATATATATATATATATATATATATATATATATATATATATACACATATATATAATATATATAATACATATATATATATACAGTATGGGACAAAAAATAGTGAATTTTTTTTTTACACTTTTTTTTTGAGCTTTTTTTTATAAAATAGCGCTTTTTATTTAATTAATGAATTCAAAATAATGATTTTGAATTAGTTAATAGCAAATTCAAATTCCTGTTGAAAAATGCTATTATTTATATATACAAGTTTGTATGAATCATCAGTCTTGAGAAGAATATTTGCTATTATAAATTTTCTTTTGTTTTAATAAAAGCCAAAATCTTAAGAAAGGTACATAATCTGTATACATTTATATACATAAAATGTATATAAATGGACATATATTAAGGTTTTATGATCCCCCCAACTAACTATTAAAATAAATATTTTTAGAGATGGAAGCTGGTCAAATTCTGATTGCTGCCGAAGCTGCACAAATGGCACCTGAAGTTTTTGTTGTAAAGGAGAAAAGATTTAAAGTAATTTCTGCTGAGAGAAAGGAATTTTTATGCAGCCTCAAATCAGGTGGAATGTCGTTCACTAAACTTGCAAAGATTCAGCATGTGCTAATTTCTTCTCTTTGTGTCATTTGGAAAAATTTTGCAGCTATTTGTACAGAAAGAAATAAAGGCTCTGGTTGAAATTGAAACTCTGATGCACAAGACGATGGACGCATTATCAATGAAGTCTGAATAGATCCGGATCAGAAATCAGAGCATTATTAAACTTATCTACTCTTGTGTTAATTAAAACCGTTTATCAACATATTAATGAGTTTGGCAAAGTCATATTTTGCATGCAAGAAGCCATTTGATGAATGAAAAACGAGTCAAATGGGCGAAAGATCATCTTCATTGGACTGTTGATCAATGGCGTCATGCAATTTTTACAGATGAGTCACTAAATGTTTTACGATTTGTGGGGAAAAGACACAATGATCATTATTTAAAGGAGTGTACTATTGGAAATGTCAACTATGATGCCAAATTAATGGTTTGGGGTCGCTTTGCTGCTCACAGTGTAGGCAATTTATATTACAAGATCTTTCAGTATCAATTCAAGCCAAGTGCAAAAAAACTTTTTTCGCACTTGGCTTGAATTGATAATGATAATTTTTCCGGGGTGATTTCATATTTCAGCAGGATAATGATCTTAAACATACTGCAATAAATAATAAAGCCTATGTCATCAACCAGAAATTGGAAACATTCGATTGACCATCACAACTTATATTATAATTTAAATACATGCTTGGTGTAGTTACGTGATTTACAAATTATTTGAATTCTTTTATTTGGAATTGGCATAGTTTTGTCAGCATATTATGTCCAAACAAGATATTTAAATGTTATAATTGTTTTAGGTTTTTATAATATTTAAAGAAATTTTTCTTTTTTTGATACAATTTTCAAAACCTTTTTACTACCTGTAATAGTGAATCTGAAGAACAACATTTTGGAGTCTTTAGTTTAATTGCGCTCATCAGCGTTAGCATGAATTAAGTTAAAATCTTTTGAAAAAGTTCCTTAATTTACTATTGATCCTAGTACTAATCGGTTCTGACATATATTAACTATATATAGTTGTCAAAACACAATATTTCTATCAATTTTTAGAAAGAATACTAGAATTCCGACCAAGAAAGAGCTTATAATTAAGAAAATTGCCAATTAACAATCAGAACAGATCATATTGTTAAACTATAATGTTCATTTCACCTAAAAAAAAACGTATTTATTTAAAATATTATTAAAATTTGGACAAGCGATTGTGATTTTAGAAGATTTTTTATTAAAAAAAAAAATCATTTATATTTTATGATACCACAAAATTTCTCATTTAATTTTTTTGTCTTTTTATAATTCACAGACCAGATCATTTAACGGAAATATGTTGTAGTCAACAAAATATCATACAGACGCCATAATATTTCAAAACTCCCTTAACTAGACCAAGTATATATATTTTTTAATAGGCTGGGTGAATAAAAAGCAATCGTTTTTACTCAGCATTTTTTAAATAATTGCTCAGCTTTATGTGAATAAAATCTTTAGCAATTTTGCTCAAATTTTTATTCATGTAAAGCTGAGCAATTACTCCAATTTGTCTTGGCACTAGGGAATCCCTTTATTAATAAATATACGTGTAAAAATAAGAAAAAATTATTTATAAAAATAATGCCTTACCTAAGTAAAATACAGCAATAAGTAATTGATGAACGATACCTTAACTGTTTTAATTATTTGATGACAAAAAAAAAAATATTTTTAACTTATATTTCTAAAAGTAAAATGGCAGTTTTGAATGCAAGCAAAAAAGAAGCATAGAAAACAAGTTTACTTTTATAACAAATACGTTATATAGTATATAGAGTATCAAATTTATAGATTTATCTCTTTATTGTATAAAAATTTATGTATATTATTTATGCACTTATTAAATCTTAAAATACATGTTATCATAAAAATAAATGTTTTTTGCATTAGTTATAATGCACGCACTTTTATGAGCATATATGTATGTTAAATACATGTGTATTTGCATAACATTTATGTGTTTGATTATGCATAAAAACAAATATACATGTGTTTTGATTCATAAATAAACAAGTACATTGATATATAGTGTAACGAGGGGCAAAATGAGACACTTAAGTGCTAATATATCTAATACGGCCCGTCTAACAACTTTTGAAAAAATAAATTGATATTTTTCAATTCTTCTATGATCCTACTTGAAGCCTAAAAAGTATGAGTTGCAAAACTGCAGTTTGGTTACCAGAGATCATTTATTGACAGCACCTATTCTGTCTCATTTTGCCCCGCATACCAAGGCAAAATGAGACAGATTTTTTTTTTTAGTAATTTAAATAAATAAAATTAAAAAAAACATATCTTTAAAAGGATTAGCAAGAAATACATTTTATAATATATTACAGCTATAATCAAACTGTCACTAGTCACATAAATCACATATTGCTTAACCAGTATTTTGAAACAAACAACAGTCCGAATGAGCCCAGGTTGTGCATTTTGGAAATTGACTCCACTTGGAGTCAATTTCCAAAATACTTATAATTAAGAAAATCCACATGGCATTTTTATATTTTTATCCCTAAAATTGTATTTATTTTTTGAAAGTTTTCTTTTCATAGTTAAAAAAAAGTAAAAAATGTATATTTATTTGATTGAGCTTTTCTAATATCTTTTGAAATATCTTTTGACTCTGATTTGGGTCCAAGTATTTGCTTACTACTTCTGATTCCATGAAAAATTTTACACGATTTAAAGTTGTATGGTTTTATATTTTCAAATTATAATAGCTAGTTAATCTATCGGTATCGGCATCTGTATCAGCATTTTTCCTTTCCATTGCCATCTGTATCGGCATAGGCCAAAAATGTGCAATCGGTACATCACTAATGCATATATTAAACTTATGTATTTAAAGCACGCATAACATTCATTGTATTTTGTTTATAGCAATAACCTATGTTATAATCTGCTGTTATAATATGTTATAATATGTTATAACCTGCAATAACCTATGTTATAATCTACTCACTATATATAATATATACTACTTACTTTATTACATT